TTCTATGCAATGGCGAGGCGAAGCTCCATACAGTTGCACAATTCCATGTTCAGGGGCATTTCCAGGGCAGCTATGTACTTCTTTAACACGAACCCATCTGGTCGTATACTGAATCGTTTCTCCAAGGATCTGGGACAACTAGATGAAGTGCTGCCGACGATTATGCTGGATGTGCTGCAGATCTTTCTCACATTGGCAGGCGTCATTGTTGTCATCTGCATAACCAATCCCTATTATCTAATACTAACTTTTGTATTAGGCGTAATCTTCTATTACCTCAGAGAATTCTATCTTAAGACTTCGAGGGATGTTAAACGATTGGAGGCAGTTGCAAGGTCTCCCATCTATTCTCATCTGAGCACCTCACTTAATGGTTTAACCACAATCAGAGCACTCGGCGCCCAGAAGGCACTAATTGCGGAGTTCGACAATCTTCAAGATCTACACAGCTCTGGATACTACACTTTTCTGTCCACGAGTCGTGCCTTTGGCTACTATGTTGATTTCTTTTGTGCCTTATATACAATCATAATTGTACTTAACTACTTCATCAATCCGCCCACCAAACCTGGTGAGGTTGGGTTGGCTATTACTCAGGCCATGAGTTTGGCAGGAATGGTGCAGTATGGAATGACCCAATCCGCCGAACTGGACACCACAATGACAGCAGTGGAGCGCGTATTGGAATATGATGATATTGAGCCTGAAGGCGAGTTCGAATCTCAGCCAAGCAAAAAGCCTCCACCGACATGGCCAGAACAGGGTAAAATTGTGGCTGACGACCTTAGTCTTCGTTACTCACCCGATCCACACTCCAAGTATGTACTTAAGTCTCTCAATTTCGAGATCAAACCAATGGAGAAAGTTGGCATTGTGGGCCGCACAGGTGCAGGCAAGTCCTCACTCATCAACGCCCTCTTCCGACTGTCCTATAATGATGGCTCCATCATCATCGATAGCCGCAACACTAACGAGCTGGGCCTTCACGATCTGCGCAGCAAAATTAGCATTATACCTCAGGAGCCAGTGCTCTTTACGGGTAGTATGCGCTATAATTTAGATCCATTTGAGGAGTATAGCGACGCTAAGCTGTGGGATGCTCTGGAGGAGGTCAAACTGAAACCTGTCATCAGCGAATTTGCAAATGGACTTCAGAGTAAGATTTCCGAGGGAGGCAGCAACTTCAGTGTGGGGCAGAGGCAACTGGTATGCCTGGCGCGCGCTATTCTTCGCGAGAATCGCATTCTAGTGATGGATGAGGCCACAGCCAATGTGGATCCACAGACAGATGCGCTCATCCGGGCGACAATAAGAAACAAGTTCAGGGAGTGCACAGTGCTGACGATTGCCCATAGGCTGAACACAATTATGGACTCTGACAAGGTGATAGTCATGGATGCTGGTCAGATGGTAGAGTTTGGCTCGCCATACGAGTTGCTAACAGAATCCGAGTCGAAGATCTTCCACAGCATGGTTATGGAGACGGGCCAGAGCAGTTTTGAGAGTCTACTATCGGTTGCAGAAAAGGCTAGTATCTTATCATATTAAATACTCGTATTAAAATACAAATAACGAATTTTATTATCCAATTTTAGGCACATTTGGAATCACAGAAGGAGAAAACTGCCTAGCACTAATTACTTATTGTTTTAGTTAAGTCAAAATGAGATACTTAAAGTATTATCGTGATGATAATTTGAATAAATACCAGAATCTTTAAAAATACAAATTGTGCCTTTAAAAGTTTCAAATGGAAAAGTATGATAATCCAATTGAACCTTTATTCAATTCATAAACACTTAAATTTTCGGAACATTCAAAATGGAACTGAGACAGATTTTTAAACCTGACTTTGACCCAGTTGTGTCATCTTTACGTCCTTCTTCCAGTTCAGCATGGGCAGCATCGTCAGCGGTACGGCGCTCAGGAGTAGATTTGGTATAAACGAGAATGCGGCCAATAGCATGGGTACTCCATGGGCGATCAGCTGCTGGGACACTGATTCGCGCACATTGCGCCAGGAACCACTGTTGCGCACAAAGAAGAAAAAGTACAGACACAATACATCACAGATCAGGAACAAGCAGATAAAAATGCCGCGCAAATTGTAGCGGGCATAGGCGCGGAAGGCGTACAAGCTGCTTATGATAATAATTAGAGGTATCATCACCTTCAGCGTGTAGAGCAACAAAATTAAAACCGTCGAGCAGTCCGAAACAAAGATGTGGGCAAAGCTCGTATCAAATGCACTGATGTTGAGCAGATTTCCGGTGCCAATCATCGAGAAATAGGCGTAGACAAGTATGAGCACAGCATAGCGATAGATTTTGTTGACGTGTTCCTCCGAGGATAGGGATTTGTTGGGTTGCACCTCGTCCTCAACGCCCTCGCTGTCTTCTGAATCTGTCAAATTCTTTTTTTCCGTGTCCACCTGCATGCCCAGCAGAAACTCGGTGCAGAGCAATTGCATAAATATCGACTCATAGCTAACGCTTAACAATGTGTATACAGTGCTCAAGTTGAAGAGTATCAGCTGAACACGACGACGCGGTGTCTTCGTATTGCTGTAGGGTATAGAGATGAATGCGTAAAATACATAGAACCAGGCGGCGCCCTGCAGCACACAGTTGATCTCAATCTTGGAAAGGCGCTCATAGAGTAAATAGACGCCCAAGAGCAAGGCAGTGCCATTGCTCAGCCAGACTCTGCAGGCATGTCGCTCGTTCATCAGCAGTGGACGCAGTATGGTCACGAGCATGCTCAGGAATACCAATACTATTGTGTTGCATCCAAAATCGGGGCGCTTCACAGTGAATCCGGTCAACAGGGCAACCACCGCGACCCACAGCCAAAATCGTAGCCTAGGAGCTCGAGTAAAGGCGTGTCCATTGTTTGCACAAACCACGATCAGATAGCCCAAAGCGATGAGCGGCTTGAAGAAGTATGTTGCAATGAAAAGTACTACGGCAGCGCCGATCCAGGCCAGCTGAATGAGCGGAGCACGCATGCAGCTGTACTGCAAGCCCTGCTCCCGCAGAGCCAATGCCCACATGGGCACTGGCACTAGTAGATAGAAACTGGTACTGCATGGGATGCTATGCAAAAAGCACGTCAGAGCCACGAGCAGCTCAATCAGCAAGAGGATCAGATTTGCAATAGTGAACCAGCCCCGTGTGGGCGCATGCTCGGCACGTCCCTGCTTCGCCAAAAGATAGTAGAACCAGCCCAGATAGGTTAGCATGCAGGCCACCACCAGTGGTATGCGATAGTATAGTTTGTAGTACTCTAGGCATTCCAATGCCGAATGTATTATCCTCTGGCTACACAGTATTGCCTCATTGAGACAGCCGCTCTGTATCTGGGTGAGGATCTTCTCATGAAAGTGCGCTATGCGGTGTCTATTCAGGCGCTCAAATTGGGGCATCCATTTCCAGATGTAGCTGCGCTCTTGCTTATCGAATACTTTTTCAACTTGAGCCAATATCTGGCGTGCATTCAGATACATTGAGTGAGCCTCATATGTTCGGCTGACATTCATCATGCCCATGACCAGCGAGGCCCGATTATTCAGTGGCGGTGGCAGTCCAATCAAAGCGGACATCAAAGGTGCGAGCTGTTCCTGCTTAAGCTCTTGGAATTGCATTGGAGTTCCATTCGTTTTCGCCGCGTAGATATCTTTAAAGGGAGACTCCAGTCGCTCGATACCTGCGCCCCAAAATATGAATGGCATCTCAATCTCAAATAAACTGTCTTCGCCGTGATCACCTGCAAAAGAAATACCAACATCAGCCTCATTAACAACTCAGTCCTGCTCAGCTTAAATCGATTCATAAATCTACCATTTACATTGTAAAACTTATAAAAAAGAAGTAATTACGCTCTTACCCATATCGGTCATTCCATGATCGGATGTCAGAAGATACACCGTTCGCTGATCCCCGAAATATTTTTCAAACAAATTATATAGCTGATTAATGACAGTCTCAGTACTGTTGAGAGCCTTGAAAAACTCATCGCTGTTCGGCTTGAGTACAGCCCCATTTCCAACGAGACTATCAAAATCCACGAGAAACACCGACGGCAGGGTCGCATTATCAAATGATCCAGCCAAAAACTTACGTACTTTATTGTACAACAACTTATGTGTAAACTTGTTTCCCGTGAGCTCCGATTCGGTATGCATATCCAAATACATTTCATGGTTTGGCAAATGTTTTAAAAATTTCAACACAGACTTGGAGCCCCAGGCCCACGAGCCGCCCATCGTGCGATTAAATATCGTATCAAAAACGGAAGGATTTCTTTTAAAGTTGCGCAAGGCTGCTGCAGCGTCCTCCTGAAAGCCACCAAATATGGATATGTGCCCGGGACGACTTTCGGTTGGAGCACTTCCATGCGATATACCAATGAGGCCATGGTCCATAAATAGATGTTTCAAATTGGGTAGGACGTTCCATTTGTTCCTGTACAATGATTCAGCACGCAAGCCATCGATGAGAAATACAACCAGACGATCTGCTGGCGGTTGCAAGCCTAAGGAACGATGTCCACTCTGTGGTTCCATGCCATTGATAACCGAGCTTTGGAAATAGATCAACGAAATATATCCGAGCAGCAATATATGCACCAACAGAGCCAAATATTTCCACATTTTCCAAAAGTAACAATAAAAATAAGAAACACTACTGTTTCTACTATGACCTATTAATGATTGAGAGTTTTAGTGGAATAATACACATAGGTAAAGGAGCAAAGCTTACTTGACTTGGAAATATCCCACAGCCTACTCTGAATGGTTGATTCTGATCAATTTTGTATTATTCCTTAAATAATTTTGCAGTCCTTGACCCATGTTAATCTATATTAGTAAACGATTCAAGATGGAGTCTGCAGTAACAAACACTAAAAAATTCAACAACAAGAACTATTTATTATTAAACTTTTAGTTTATATATATAACTATAAATATGTAGGAAAAGCAGTTTCTATATATAAATATTTGGGCTTAAAAATAATTACTGCATATTTTTAACCTTTGGTTGACAGTCCAATAAATCCCGAATTTGAAGTCTATAGAAACTTATGCAAATAATATTATTTGTGAGATACCAGATATAGTATTTTCTGATTTGCCGTGCCCACAGTGAGGAATATATATGTATATGTACATATATTTAATAAATTACTCTTTCATAAATACTCTATAATGTTGGAGTAATAAATTATATTAAAATATACATTTATATATATAAAGTATTAATACCTAGACAAGAGTTAGCTTAGATTACTACATCCGGCTCGCCTAAAAAGTTTTTTCTCAATTCGTAAATTTGAACATTTGATAAATTATTTTATTTTTTTGTTGATATACATACATTTTATTATGGGTATTACCTACTGGTACGCTTGCGCAGTGCAACTGCTGTTGCTGTTCTCCGTGTACGTCATCTACTTTCGGTGCACGCTGCTGAGTGGGTTAGTGCCACAGAAACCGTTGCTGGAAAAGCCGCCAGCCAATCGTTTGGTCATATTTTCTGTCGATGGACTCAACGTGAAGTCATTCTTCGAGCATCGTTGCCGTAATGTGCCGCATCTGAAGCAGATATTTCTGCATCAAGGTCTAGTTGGTATAAGCCGTGCGCGTGTGACTAACAGATGCGACACTTTTACGACACTTTTCTCTGGCTGCCATAAGGATGTTTTGGCAGCAGTGCATAGAACGCCCATTGACACAATCTTCAATAGGAGCGATCGCAGCCACACCTGGTGCTCAGCAGAGTTGATGGAGAACTTTCAACGCGATAACACCAAAGAAATCGTCCTGGACGAGTGGACATTTAGGGCAGTGAAAAGCCATATTCTTTTATCATCCAACCAGATGCAGAACCTCACCGGTCAGGTATTCTTTATTCAGCTGCAAGGCCTTAACCTGCTCAATTTATATAGAACCTATCCACAACAATTGAATTATACACAACATGCCATTTGGGAGACTTACAACATATTTGAACGAGCTTTTCAGGATCAGCGCACTGCATATTTACTGACCTCACGTCATGTCGGATCACCAGGTGAGCTGACCTAATGTATGGAGCTCATTAAACTTTTACCACAACATAAATTCTAATAGGTGACAGCAAAGCCAGCACCAACGGGGAGGTGCAGATGCCATTTGTAATATGGGGCGCAGGTGTGGCCAACAGCTCGACCCAACCAGGTCGCAGCTTTATGGTCACTGAAGAGGGACAGCGTCTGCCACTGCACGTCCTGGACGCCAAACAGTTGGTCTCAGTGATGAGTGGTCTATTGGGCCTGCCGCCCCCAATGCACAATCGCGGCCAGCTGCCCGCGGGTCTGCTCAACACCAGCATCCATGAGGCGCATGCCACGTACTTGAATGCGCTACAGTTTGTCAACCTGGCGCAAGCGGCACTTGGCCGACATCAACGTGGTCTCTTGACCAAGCTCTTACCCAGTCACAAGCTAACCGACGTGAATATCCATGAATTCATCAGCACGGCCGATTCGTTGTGGCATCAGCAACGCTACATCACGCTTACGGAGTACTGTAGTAGTTTCATGCCCAAGCTCCTGCAGTTGACTGACTACTATGTCCACTATTATCGCCAAGCACTGCTTTGGGCCAGCGGCTGGGCCTTTCTGGGCTGGGTGCAACAGTTACGTGGCACGAGAGCCGGATCACAGAGTCTTCTAAATCTGATGTTCGAGGCGCTGGTGCGCCTGGTGCTCTTTCTGTCAATCATATTTGTGCTGTTACAGCGTGTGCCATGGCTCGTTAGTGGCATCCTGCTGCTGCCGACGCTCCTTTGGAGCTACAAGGATGCATTTCACGAGGAGCACTTAATATCGTATCGCCAGCTGATAGTGTTCATGCTGTTCTCCATTTGCTGTTTTGCCGGCTTCTTCTTCCGCCGCTTTATTGGACTCATCTACTTTGGATTCGCCTGCTACCACAATCGGATCGCATTTGCGCAGCGTTCGCCAAGCTGTGTTATCTGGTTTTTGCTTCTCTGTGCTCTCACAGCGCTGTCCTGGCTACCTCCGGCACTTGGTTATTGGCAAGGTCATTGGCTACTCGGCAGCCTTTTCATCACTGCAGTGCGTCCGTTTATATGCAGCACGCAGCAACAGATAAAGCGGAGATTTTGCATTTTAAATGGCCTAGTACTGCTCCTGGCTGGACTGCATGTCATCTTCAGCTCGCAGGCGTGTTTACTTCAATTGATTGCTCGTGCATTCGCTTGTTATGTGTTCTTTCCGCGTCAACGACTGGAAGGTGCGAAGCAGCTCCTCTTCGATTTGTGTACACTATATGCGTTGCTTTCCACGTCCTATGAGCCACTGGTCATACAACTACTGGCCATGGAACTACAGTTGCAGCTGCGTCTCAACCAAGACATCGGAACGGGCATCAATCGGAAATCCACACTGGCTATGTATATGCTAATTTATAGCTTATACTCTTTGTTTGTCATTGGCAACATTGATGCAGTGGATAAGTTTCGATTCTACATGCGATTCACGGGCTTTGGTTTCTATTCGACTCTCATAAATGGACTTCTGATCACAATCAAAATTCTGTTGCCGATCTTCCTGCTGCTGTGCATCATTTGTGCGAACTGTAATATGGCATGGCTGAGTCGACGGCACATCTTCTGTAGACTGCTCATCATGTGCAATTTCATGGCGCTAATTGCACTATTTCGAATACGTTCTGAAATCATCTCTTGGCAGGATTTGGTTCCAGTCATCCATTTTTGTATGGTGCAAGGATTACCATTTTTATTGCTGCTATTATGTCATCTGGCACACTTTATGTTGGGCGATCATGGAAGAGAAATTTTTCAGCTGCCGAAGTGGAATGTACACATCTATTAAAAAGGCATTTTTCATAAAATTTATTTTAATATTTAACGAACTAACATTTTGAATCTCCGCGCTAAATAAACTGTTAATGCTCCTCACACAACTGATTCTGTTAATGCTCCTCACACAACAGATTCTGTTAATGTTACACGAACACCTGCGCCACTAACCAGAGAACACATAGACCGGACACGTAGTGCAAAGCGTTTTGCACAC